CACTCTGCACTCCCAGGGGGCAGGGAAGATCTATGAGGGGCTCGGGCAGGGCCCAGGAGGCTGTAGGAGGGAAGGAGGGGCATGAGCAGGTCCAGGGGCCTGTGGGAGGGAGTAAGGGGCACCAGCAGGACCGGGGAGGGGCTGTGGTGGGGAGTGAGAGGCCTTTCATTTTAATCACGGATTTTGGGGGTTTTATCAGAGAATTTGCAATTTTTTATATAAGGGAAAACCAGGATCCCTGGTAATGATCAGCCCTGTCCCCTTGTTTGCTTCTTTCTTACCAAGAAGCATGTTAGGAGGACAGCAGTGTGTGCAATGCTAACACTATCAGTTACCCTATGGCTTGGCTCCTCCAGGACCATGCTGGGTCCCCTGGGAGGGCTTGAGCATGCAGGTGCAGGACCTATCCTTACATATCCTTTGCTGTCACTGACTCTGCATTGTCTCTTCCCTCCAGCTGCACTTTGGAAAGTCTAGTGCACTCCTCCCTTACATAGCCCTATTCCCATCTTAACTGAGCACCCAAGTTCTACTGGTGTTCCCAGCAACACCCCGGGAGGAAAGGAAGCAAACTGGATGAGAGAGAGGTGCTATGAGGGACTGAATCATGCAGGGGCCTTGTGGTTGAGCAGCGACTAGGACAAAGGCTGGTGCACCACCCAATGGGCCAAGCTTCCTCTCTGCTACTCCAGAAACAAAGTGCATGGGAAGCTTTACTTCTGGGTATTTATTATTCCAAGCTCCTGGCACATCCTGCCCTTGCACCGGGCACTAGGCTTGTGTCAGTTACTAGATTTGTGGATGCAGTTGTCAGGGTAGAAAGCTGAGGCCCCTAATGACTTCATCTTCCCGAGCCAGCAGAAGTATGCAGTGAGAGAGGCAAGTCACTCACCATGGGTGTCACCTTGATGGGGTCAGTCTCCTTTGGCAACCTCCTCCAGCCACGGAGTGTGTCAGGTTGCCCTTGGTACACTCCTTCCGTTCTGTCCTGTTCTCTCCCCCCAACTGTGTGTATCTTGTTTCCGGAGGCTCTGGCTCCTCCAGGTCTCGCTGAGAAGCAGTGGTTTTGGAATGGTCCCAGCCCCGCAGGATGCCTGGCGCCTCTAGCATCAGGGACTGAGCAGAGCACTGGTGCAGAGAGCTTGAAAGGTATTTTGTGGTGTGATGGCTCTGAGAGGCAATGGAGGGCAAGGGAAGCAGGGACTGCACACCATGAGCACTGCGTGTCTGTGGGGCAGGCTCAGAGATGCAAGGAAAGATGGGGTTATGGTTAAGAGACTGAACGGGAACACAAGTCTCAGTTGACTTCACAGCTCTGCCCCAGATGCCTTGTTTGGCTGCCATGACCCTGGGGTGATTGCACCTTTTTCGCTTTGGCAATCTAAGCACACCCAGCTCAAGTTGTGGGGGCCGTGGTCCGTCTCTGTCTGAGAACAATTCTTTTGCTCACAGAACTGGCTGCCAGACCCTGTTAATAGTAACCATATCCCATCCTGCAGGTGCACCTGGGTTTGGGACACTTGAGTCCTTCCCTGGAGGAACCTGTCACCAGTGGTACTGTGTCCAGCAGACTTCTCAGGGCAAGTATGCATATGGCAATTCGAACAAAGGGTTTTCATCAGTGACCCATCTCTCTGCATGGCCAACTTTGCAAGACATCCTGTGGGATAAGACCCAGGCTATCCACATAATGCTTTAAAATGCGGTTTGAGTAACCCTATGCATCAGGTTCCCAGGGAGGGATAATTGCAGCCCTGGTGCAGGCTGTTTGAGGCTCTAGTCCAGCTGGAAGGCTGCCCAGGAGGTGAGCATGTGCTCCCTTGCTCAGTGCTGCTGGTGTCAGAGGCGGTTTGAGGTTGCAGTTGTGAAATTGTGCGCTTTGGAACGGAAGAGAGTTGTGGCTGCTGCCCTGTGCAGGCTGCAGGCAGCTTTGTCTAATGGCCTTCTCTTCCTCAAGCAGCCAGTGGGAAGGAAGCTGGCTCAGCTGTGGGAGGGGCTTTTGGCTTTGGAGCCTACAGAGGTTGAGCCCCAGCACAGCCTGAGTACCAGAACACAGGGTAGATCATTCACACGTGGCCTCCTTGTTTCTGCTCCTCTGGTGATGGTGCAGACAGAGCTCACACTGACAGCATGTTGATGGCAAAGATCCTGTGCGCTGCTTTGAGGCTTCCGTGCCAGCCTTTGTCAGAAGCTGACTCAGCCCCTGAAGACAGCCTCTTGATCACTTGAGGAGCCTTGTGTATGCTGCTGTCACTTTACTTCTAAGCTTATGTACCAGCTTGTGCATATGCTCACTTTAAATGGGGTTAGGAGTTTTCCCTTCCTCTGTTCTGTAGCACAGCTTTAGAATTGGACACACTTCTTTTGTCTTGGACTTTTGAAATGGCCTGAGAGAGCTAGGCACCCCTGTCCCATAGACATTTCAGAAAAGTGAGTGCCTCATTCCTTTTGGGGCTTATTCTAAGCCTTCCCAGACTAGAGCCCTCACCAGTAGAGTGCCTGGCATGCTCTGGAATCCAGAGAATTAATTGGAATCCTGTTGCGGTTAGCAAAGAGAGAAAGGGAATAGAGCAGGGACTCTGAGCATGGGGCACATGCAAGTGTCAGCTGGCACAGCCAACAACTCTTCTATCTCCTTCAGCTAGGAAAAAAATGTAGGTTCTGTGTCAGGGAAGGTTGGTTCAAGTTATAGGGGAAAAACAGGGCAGAGGTGCCTCAAAGTTGCTTAACAAGCCCCCTGGGTACAGGGTGGAGTGTTCCAGGGCCCCCCATTCCTCTCAATAATCATGGGTCATACTGCTGAGAAATCCAATCAAGATGCAGAGGGTACCTGCTTTTCTTGTTTACCTGTACAAAAATCTTTCTGTTGAGGCTTTCTTACCACAACATAGAGGGTATTTCTGATTCTTTGCTTTGATTCATGTAAAAGCCACATCTGGCTGGGGAAGGGCAGAGCCACAGCTGAATCTCTTCCTATGTTTTTTAATGAGCCCAATGACCAGGGATCCTGGTTTTCTCTGATTTAAAAAAATTGCAAATTCTCTGATTAAAACCCCCAAAATCTGTGTTTTTCCATGATTAAAATGAAGTGCCAGTATACATAGGTATCAGTTGAACGCAATGTTTTATTGATGCATTTATGATTTTAAAGCAGTTTGGAAGCCTACCAGTGCCTCAATCACTGCAATAAAGTAAATTCTAAATACGTATAAAATTTGGTGTTTGATTTTGGGTTTTTTATCACAGAAAATCAGAGCTCCTTCTGCCCCCTTCACTCACCAGGATGTGGGTCCAGTTGCAGCTGCCTGCCCCACCCTCCCTCTTTGTGGTGCCAAGCAGCCCTGATATGGCAGTGCCCTGCCCATACCATGGCCCTTCATTCCCCTCCCACAGCCCCTGCCCCCCCTAGCTGCCAGAGCTATGGGGCCAGGGACCCACGTCCACAGCCCCTTGCCCCCCACAGCAGCGCCTGAGCCCTGGCTTCCGCATGTGGGAGGTGGCAGCGCTGCTGTGCTGGGCCACGGAGCCCAGCTCCCTTCCTCCATGGGCAGTATGGCCAGAGCAGGGCCTGTTGAGAAGGGAGAGGGGGGACAGCTGCCACTGCAGGCTTTGGGCTCCCTGCCCTGCTACCCTCCCCTTGGGGCCTCCGCAGCACAGCAGAGACCCAGCACAGCAAGGCAAAAGCAGGGCCAGATGGGAAAGTTAGGTGCTACTACTGGGAGCCTTGCACTGCCATGGTGAGGCACTCCCTGGCCGCCCAGCAGCAGCAAGAAGCACAGCTCCACACCACCCAGCTGCTGCTGGGTGAACAGGGGACACCTCATCATGGCAGTGTGGGGCTCATGGCAGTGACACCAAGCTGCCCCTTAGTCTAAGCCTTCTCAAACTAGAGCCTTCACTGGTAGAGTGCCTGGCATGCTCTGGAACCCAAAGAATTAATTGTAATCCTGTTGCAGTTAGCAAAGAGAAAAAGGGAATGGATCAGGGACTTTGAGCATGGTAGAGTGGTCAGAGTGAAAAAGAGACTCTTGCCGTGCTGGGTCTCACCCGCTGGGCTGTGGAGCCCAAGGAGCAGGGCAGGGAGCCTGAGCCTGAGCCTGCAGCAGGCAGCCCACACCTGCCCCATGCACAAATATGGGGGGCATGTGCCCCCATATTCCCCCAGGAATGCATGCAGCAGTGGGGAGCCAGCCCCCTGCCCCGCCACCTCCCAGATGAGCTGCCCATGGGGCCCGTCCCACTCCCTGCCTGGGCCCTGTGGCCACACATTCTGGCCCCAGGCCCCAAGCCCCACACACCACCCCAACTGGGAACCAGCCCCAGCCCTGCTTATTCCCTCCTTCACTATGGGGTCCTCAATCCCTCCCTCCATCAGCTGCTTTCTAGGCTGCCTGGCTGCTGTGTGTAGATGTGCATGCACACATGAGCATGACAGCCACTGCCTGACCGCTTCCCCCAGCAAACTGGAACTCTCAGTGCCCACCTGCAAGGGGAAACCCACTGTTTCCTTAAAATGAGAAAATCCAGGTTTTTCTCCTTAAAATGAGAACACCGGGGTTTTACTGCATTTTTCTGTTGTGGACGGAAAACCCTTACCCCTGTTAATGAGTATATTTGGTATTAAGAATGCAGCTGCTCACGTGCTTGAGGCAGATGTATGCAATAAAACACATGCACAAGACAGCTTGCAATATGGATTGTGACTGGTTTGACCAGCTAATGGACCAGAAGCCTTGCTCCCTGAGTTGTGTAATGCCAGCCCCTTGGGATGCCATTTCTCTTAATGCCTCTGTCTGATCCCTCCTCCCCACCTGCCACGTTCCTTTCAGCATATGCTTTGTACCTTTCTCTCCACAACAGCTCTGTTTGCAGCCCTTATTCTGTCACTTCGCATGTTGTATGCAAGTAGTGTGGCAGGCAGTGCCAGGGCAGGAAATGACCTGGGTTCCCACCCTTCTGCATCTCCTCTCTCTGTGTCCCAAGTGTCTGGGCACACCACAAAGTCTCTGATTTGTAGCCATCATTAAGAAATGGGAGTTTCCTCAATGCTAGAGGAGGTACAGGCCCCCACCCTCTTTTCCTTTGAAGGAGAGAGCTTGTGCTCTGAGCCCTGGAATAAATAAGTAGCCACTTCTTAGGAGGCATGACTGCTTTATTCCTGTACCAGCTCTGGCAGCAATGGTGCCGTTTCCAGAGAGAATATCTATTCACATGTTGCTCTGTGAGAAGAGCTCTTGCTGAGACCCCTTGGCCCCTGGGGCACAGCTCCTTCTCTGGGTCATCCCACAGCAGCTGCGTTTTGGGGTGAGCTCTGCAGTGCTGCAGGTTGCTTCCTTGCCTTGCTCATGTTCTGAGCCCTGCAGTTTTGGTGCAGGGGCTATAACTTGTGCTACGTTATTTTCAGCATCGCGTTTTAAGAAGCTGGGTCCCTGGAGGGATTGGTTACTTAACTGATGCAGTTGATTTCTATTGGGTAGCCCCAGCTGCAGAGCAGCTGGGAGTCTGCTCTGCATTCTGGTCAGGTTGGAGCGCTGTGTGCCTGTGTCTGGAATTCAGAGTTCCTGAAGGATGCTGGAAAAGGATTAGGGAAATGTTTCATTTTCTCTGTGGGATAAAAGCACAGGGGTGATTTTCACCTGAAAGCGCTTCTCATTGGGAAGGAAGCCCCTTTTAAAAATGAAGTAAAAGCTAATGTGTATAAAAGGGCACTAAGTGTTTCTGCAGTAATGGGCCGACCTAGGAGAAGGGACCTGACAGCGGACAGCACCGCATGGATGTAGAATTAAAAGGGGACATGCAGTTCTTAGAGAATAAATGTTACATGCCGCCAAACTATGCTTCCCTCCAGAGCGCCTAGGGAGAGATCTGAAGCATGTGAGCAAATGCAGGATAAACATCTTAGCCCACTTGCTTTCCTGAGTGTGCTCTGTCATGTTCCCTTTCTGGGGGTGGGAGGGCATGCAGGGTGGGAAGGCTCCACGCTGGCTGTGCAGGAGCCCATGACTGTCTGAGAGCATTTCTTGTCTGCAGCCCTGCAGTCTGTGGAAAGGGGGCATTTCCTGGCCATACACTAGGCTTCTTTCCTCGCCTGCTGTTGTGAAGCATCTTCTGTCTTGCTTGTCCAGACTCTGCAGTTTCTCATGAGAACAAGTGGCTGTTGCAGGGGGGGAGTGGGGAAATGCGGCTGATTTCCTTGCTTTGAGCATTTTTTTGTGGCTGGCAAGGAGAGGGAAGGAGGCAGAACAACTTGAATTGTCTGCAGATTAGTTGATCTCTCCATCTCAACTTTGCTCCCTGCTTTTGTTTCTAATATTCTTTTTCACTCTGCCCTTACTCTCCTGCCAGGAGCCTTCCCTCAGTCTGTTGTGATGCGTAGCACTCTGCTGTTTGCATTCCCCCGTTCTCCTCAGCCAGGCCATGGGAACGGATTAGTGCTAGGCTGTACAGGGTGCTCTTTGGGATGGGGGTTCTGTGCAGATGCTTTCCGCATGGTGCTTTGGTGGGACCTTCTGCATGGTTCCCCTTTGCTAAGTTCCATATCAGAGGCAGCTGGGGGGCTGGGGTGGCACTTGGTTGACAGCCTAGGGGTTGCAAGTTCAAGATCATAACAGAAGCACTTGCGAATTCTGCTAAATACTTTGTCACACAAGGACACAAAAAAGAAAGGAAAAGAGGGAGCCAAAAAGGGGTAGAAGTTTCATTAAAGCAGCACCTGGCCGGAGCTGAGCCTGCACTTTGTCACCTGGGCAATTGCAGCTAGTCATCTCGTGCTGCTGCACCCGTAAACCAAAGGAACAAGTCATTTGAGAAGGCACAGGTACGAGAAACCACACATTCATGTTTCTCTACCCCACAGATGTGTTTGTGGAAGACAAACCCCTGGCAGATAAGTGTGCATGTGCAGCAGTGTGCATAGTGCCCGGGCCACAAAGGCTTTGAATTATGTGTGCTGAAGGCCTGGCTTGCACAGAAACTTGAACCAATGTCAGTACTTTGGTTTATTTCAGTTGGTGCAAAGCTCTGTGCAGATCCTATGATTTCAGTCTAGGAGCAGCTTATTTTGAGATAGAGAAGGCCTCCACCTGCTTGACCTAAGGTAGAACAAAATAAGTCTGGGTTAAATTGGAAGAAATGTTCACGCGTCCTTTGGCATGGGCTTGTTCAAACCACGCTGTAAATGAAGTGGGGTAGATCTGGCAGAGGAGTTCCTCATGACAGTAAGTCTTCACAGAGTTTATGTCCAGGCCGAAAGATGGTTTTTCTTTTAAAAAATAATAATCTTGGATTTCCCTTCTGGCCATTAACAGAAATGCAAATCATGCAATTTTATGCAAATGAGCCCACTTTATTGTAGGACTCGCCTCCTGCTGCAGTGGCTAATGTTGTAATCCCATTTCTCTGATCACATGCAAGTCCAGGAAGGAAACCCATATGGCAGAAAAGCATCACACACGCATTCACCCCCCACACACCCTGGCAAAACAGTTGTTATTCCAAGAATCTCTGTTCTTCATAGTTTCCCTCTGTGGTCTTAAAGCATCTCCCATCCAGGTCAGCATCTCAGTAGCACAGCGCCACGCTCTCCAGTTATCTATTCTGTGCGACAGATCTGTTCTGTCTTGTTCTGCCTTCCTTGTGGTGAAGGGTTGGCAAATAAGGAGGGTAACTCGCCATCCGAAATGGGATGGTCTGAGCTGCTCAAGCTGCGGCTGTTTCAAGGTGGGCCTCCAGCACCCAGGAACAACTGTGTTCCCATTCATACCCAGTCTTCCTTCCTCCAAGCACATCCGGCTGCCTTCCCCTCTGTGAGCCCTACAGACCTGTTCCTTTACATCATTTGTCTTGTAATTCTCAACTTCCGAGTATCACAGGTTCCACAGGACTTGGAAACTGCAGCAGTACAGAACATATGGCCTGTGTCAGACTTCACCACTTTCTCTGGAGTCTGGGTTTTTTTCCAGGCTTACTGAGGGCCTGCTAAGAGTCGGTGTGATGGTCACAGGAAAATCTGCTGATGTTTTAAATAGAAATTCAAGGACTTGAAAGAGGCATGGGAATGGAGCAGTGTGTTGCTTCACTCACTTAGTTTTAAGCAGAGAGCATGTGAGGTCATAGCACACAATGCACTTAATGGAATATGATGGTCTCTCCCTGGCTGTAACTCACGTGGTTACCAGTCCCCAATATCATTGCTCCCACCACACAAATGGTGAAGTAAATTTACTAGCCAGACTCTGGGATAATCCTGCGCTGCCAGTGCACTGGGACATTTTCTACTCACCAATAGCTCAGCTCCCCTCAAAACACCCCGTATGGTCCACCCTTTCAAAGCTCTTTGACTTTTCCTTACTTAATAGCATGAAGAATGGTGAGCACAAGTACCAGTCAATCACCACATCATCTCTGGTCCTATAGTCAGTCAACCAGGATTAACTGGCCACACTGCTATTGGGCACTTCTCAGCTATTTTCAAACTGGACAGGGTCACTGTGACTCAAACCTATACCAGTGGGGCCTTCCCAATGACAACAAATACCAAGTTCAAACCATGCCCCACATTGTTGACTTGTGTCCATTTACTGTGCTACCTGGTGGCCTTCAAGCTCTTCACACTGGTGATGACATTGTCTTAAGATGGCTGAAATAATATGCCAAAACCACATACACTAAATAAATACTGCCTGTAAGAGACAGTAAGCTACCTAGGAAACAGAGCTTTACCTTGGACTGGTATTGTTCTGCAGTTGGCTTTTGGGGTTTATTTTAGTGCAGGGAACGGGATGGGGTTAACTGTTCAGGGCAGTTGACTGATTAAAAATAGAAAGCCAAGTACCAGAGGGGCAGGCATCCCATAGAGTGACAGCTCCACACAGAGTCCCTCCCAGCACAGCAGCCGCTGCTGTCATTTGTAGGTGGCTGTTGTTTTTCATCCTGCTTCAGGGAGCTGCATCATACTCCCCTTTGCTTTCTCCTCTGCAGGCAATGATAATGTGAAGTGCATTCTCTTTCTGGAGTTGCAAGTCACAACTGATGAGTAACCACTGCACCATGATCCTTGAGCTACACAGTAACTCAGGGAAGTGTGAGTGACTATTTTAGAGACTAATGTCCTGAGCCTGCCAAGGTTTACAGAGGTGCTCTAGTTTTAAGCATGGAATTGGGTTCCATTTGAATTCATTGGGATTCCACATGTGTTTAAGATTACCATGTGCTTGTTGCCCTGGTGTTTCTGCGCAGAGGTAGCAACAATTTAGGCGTCATGTCACCCAATGATGCTCATCTGTGTTGGTACTTAAAGTACATTCAGTTCTGGTCACTATGAGCACTGGCAGATGTGGAAAAAAACAAGCTTTGCTGGAAGCAACAGTACATTAGTTTGACCCAGCTCTGCAGCATCTGTATATATTGGGCCCTTCAGCGGGGCTTTTTGGCACTTTTATCTAATAGCTGATTGAATCAGCTATTAGATAAAAGTGCCAACAAACTCCACTAAAGCACCCAATCTATATAGACATTGGGAAAGCCAGGTGTAACTAAGGCACTGCCTCTTAGCATGCACCAGGTTTGCCATAAGAGCACGCCAAGTTTAATGTAAAGTGCCTTTTTTTTCCCCACATCTGCAGGCAGCCTATCTCAAAAAGGCTATAACTGAAGTCAAAGGGGTTGATGGGGAAGTTTTGATATGAAGAGAGAGAGACTTTGAGTAAAGACGAGTAAAGGGGACAAGACAAAGCCATAGATGGGGGAAGCTCATCAGCCTTTTGCATAAGAGAAGAGCAATGGGGAGTTCAAGAAAATCAAAAGGCAGAAAGGGAAACACCATAAACAAAGACAACCACAGCTCGCTTAAGCAGAGTTGAACTGTACTGCTGGTCCTGCTATGGGGCCTAAACCAACCACAGACAAACTAAGGCCAGGCTGAGATTTCTTCTGCTGATTATGTTGCTCCGGGAGTATCCTTGCAACCCCTGGGAATGGCAGCAGACTGGTGGTCTCAGTACCATTTGCAATTCCCAGGGGCAGTGACCTGCCCAGTGTCTCATGGGGACTTAGCAATAGAGATAGAAATAGACCCCAAGTCCCAACTCCCATGTCAGCTGTACAAGAGAAATATTCCCTGTTCATCAAGAAGATTAATGATGGGAAATGTAAACATTCTTGTGCTTGGAGAAGTTCAGTACATTCTAATTTGCAACTTTTCCCCCTATTATTTAGAGAGTAAAAAAGGAAACTGAGTTTGAAAACTGAGGCTGGCTCCATGTATCCAGAATCCACTACTGACTCCCCCGCCAGACTCTCGCTAAGACAGACGGGCTCTCCCGGGATGATTTACAGGTGAGCCAGTTAGCAGCTTCTGCACCTTCCTCTACTAGCCTGTGCATGGGGTAAAGGTATGTTTTTCATGGGAGCCAAGGGGGTAACATTTTTAGTGGTTTTCAGAGAACAGGGTGTTGTGATTGGTGTAGTGGCTTGAGGCAGACACAACAATGACATAAAATCCCTCGTGTGCTTTTTGAATGTGTTGGTCAAAAATAATTGTCCAGAGCTGCACAAACCCTTGGTGTAGACCAAGCAACATTGGAGTACCTCTCAGGGCTCTGGTGTGGGCTACCTCAAGTCAGTTGCTCTTCAATATTTCTTTCAAAGTGCTCTGCTTCACTGAAGGGCTTACCTGTAAATTACCTATATCCACCTTTTGTACATGTTTGCAGGATGTTCTGTTATATTATGGGAGCCAGAAGCCATTTGCAGGTAGCCTGACCAGATAATGTGCTGATAACTGCTTCCTAACACTTGGTGGAGCTGTTGTCTTTCTTTCACAGGACCTTTCGCTCCCAAGTGAAGGGAAACCCTGAAGTCATTAAAAATATTAGAGATGGGGGTGAGCCCTAGAGGCTCACTAGCATACAAAAACCACTGCACAATGAGTTGACTGGTTTGTCCATGTCTGACACTTCACTTGTCTTTTAATGTGATGTGTAGAATGTTTCTTCTTTCTTTCCCTTGCTGTCGGAAGTGCTCGGTACGGGAGTCCCAAACGACAGCTGCAGTTCTACAGGTAACCAAGTCTTTTACCTCTCATAAAACAATGCAGCTGAAAAGTAGTTATGGGCCTAACTGTAGAAAACCAGATTTCAGAAGGAGCCTCAGTCCATGGACTGTATCCCCATGGTTATCATCGAACTCAGTAGGTGCCATCTCTGACAGCCTCTGGGAATAGATATTCTACAGTGGAACTGCTCGACATGTCAAACTCAACCAGCACCCTATGTTGATGCAGTCAGATTGTCATGCTGGTGCTGGGCTCAGGGTGTTCTTGTTGTGGATATTCAACTGTGCCAATTGGGGATTAGCTGAATGATTGTTTGAATTATTGTGGTGGCTGCATTCAATTTAAGTGTAGGTAAAATGAATGCATGTGTATGCACTCCTCGTACAATCATTAAGCAAAGTAGAAAGTGCTTTCAAATGAAAGTCTGTGTGCCTGCAAGATCAGGAGTGAAGTTGTGGAAATAATTCCAGGCTAGCTTGCCCCCTCCTTACTTCTTATCTCGGTGGTATGGGCTGATTTGACCTTTTCCAGATACAATAGGTGGGCCAAAACAGGCAGTACAATCTTATCCTTTGTTGTGAGTGTCTCCACTTGTGGATGCCTGGCCTGAGACACCTTAGAAAGGCCTGATTCTCCCTGGTGAAAAACAGGTTCTGCAGAATAGTGGTAAAAGAAGCAAAAGAGAAGGCTGCAAGCCTGTGGCATTGTGGGTGCAGACAGAAATGCAGTTTCCTGATCTAACTCATGGTTTGCACAAAACACCATGAGTTAGACCAGGGGTCAGCAACCCCCAGCACGCGTGCCAAGCATCTCTGCAGTCTTTCTCCCCTAGCTCTGCGGGGGCCCCCCTCCCCACACACACACACAGCTCAAGTGCTGTGTCTGGATGGGAGAGGGGAGAAAGCAGGAAGGGAGCTCATTCTGGGGCTTCCCCAGCCAAGCTGGAGTAGGGGGACAGGTTGATTGGAGCTCCCCAAGGTGGGGGGCTCCAATCCACCCACCCTACCCCACCCTCTAGTGCCAGCTAGGCAACCCCCAAAATGAACTCCCTCCACTCCCTTCCTCCCCATTCTGAAAATAGCACGGGGACCAGAGCTGGGCTGTGTCAGCCAAGACCTGCTCCCAGCATGCACAGACAGAAATTAATGAAGGTGCTCCATGTTGGAGCACCTTCATCTGAACCCTAATGCAATGAGGGTTCAGATTGTCATGGGATAGGGCTCTTTTAAAGTGGTCTGCAGCTGTACACTTATGTTTGGTCATGGCTGTACACCACTTTCTGGGGCCAGATTGGGCAAAAATTGTCACATCTGTCTGCACCCTCTGTCTTCACTTTGCAGAGATTTCAGGTCAGAGCTAGCCAGGGAAAAGTCCCTATGCCCAAATGGCTTCATTCCTATCTTTCCCTCTAGTCCCCTGGAAATGTAGGTTTGCATTGAATCAGCAGTTCAGGAAAGCCTGGGATCCACCTCCCAATGTTTCTTCCAGGTTTGCTACAGCATGGCTTTCTGCCATTCTGTGAGCCTGCTGCGTGTGGACCAAGATCACAGCAACATTCTTTGTCATGGCATCCAGATACACAAAATACAAGAGCATGTTGGTGTCACTTCTGCCAGCTTCTGACTGCATAGCACCTCATCTGTATTTGTCAGAGTGGGAACTGCTGTACATCAGCAATGTGTGTGTAGGCTCAGACCAGACCTATTAGTTTTTCCCTAGAGTCCCTCTGGGATCCTGGCCAGCCCCCATTCATCTAGTGTGTGCATTAAGAGAAATGTCATCCGCTTGCATCAAAAAAATGGTAGCATTTTTTTTCAGCCTTTTAATGTCTAAAATTAAGAAACCACTTCCCCTTGCCCCAGTCTGTGCTGAGGGCATACAAGAAACAGTTGCTAATGCTGCCAGTGGTTGGTGCTAACAACAAACTGTGGACCCCAGGGCTTTTCCAAACAGAGCTTCTGGTGATCAGAGTCCCAGGCTGCTTTCAGTACATGCTCAGGAATGGGAGCCCTTCCTTTTATTTTTCAATGGGTAAAAATTTTGTTCGCAGCTCATTGTACGTATGTCTTGCTGTGTGAATGGAACAGAATGGAAGTGTGGTAGGGTGTGAGAGAGAGAGATGAGGTGAAAACCTGAGAGAGAGACATGGTGTGCACATTTGTGAACAGTTTTTTGCACCGCTTCTTTTTTTGAACTGCTAACAGATGACGTTTTTCTCTGCATGTATTTATAAATATAAAGGTGGTAATCAATCAGGGCTATAGGCACTATGCAGTAACATGCACAGAAATAACTGGCTAATTGAAGTGAAAGCATTACTCATCAGTGCTGCACAAATAATGCATATAGTTTTTTGTAAATATGTCTTTATTACCTTGAGCTGTCAGCAGCTGGTTTATGGTAATCTGGAAAGTTCTAGGTGTGGAAGAAGTCCTAGTGAATCATTCAGATGATTTGTTTGGGCCCACAGCTATGCGGTGTTAATGCTTGAAGGAGAGAAACTTTCTAGTCTTTCTCGTCTAGTCCCTTCCAGTCTTCCATTTGTTGCACATGATGTATGCTGTCTTGGGGCCTGACCCTGCCTCAACGCACATCACAAGTTCATGCTTGCACATCCCAGTAGGCAAACACAGCCATGCTTCAGGGCTACAGGGCCAGGGACCTAGGTCCACAGCCCCCCACCCCAGCAAGAGGTAGCAGCTGCTGCAACAGAGCAGAGTCTGGCTCCCCTCCATGCAGCCTGCCTGCTGCGAGCTCAGGCTGGGGGACTGGCTCCCTGCCACTGCACGCACTCCTGAGGGGGCAGGAGGGACCCTTGCCCCCCAGATCTGTGCATGGGGCGGGGGCAGGTATGGGCTGCCTGCTACGGGCTTGGGCCCATCCTACTGCCCTCCCCTGGGTCCTTCACAGCCCAGCAGGTACAACCTGGCTGGAGGGAACAGTAGGGCCGCACAGGAATCTCCTTGCCTCTGCGAGCTCCACGCTGCCCTGGTAACACGTCCCCTGCCCACACAGCAGCAGAGGGGTGCAACCCCATGCCACTGCCCCTGCTGCTGCCACCAGGACAAGGGATGTGTCCAGAGCAGCGCAGAGCTCGCAGCAGCAAGGAGATCCCCATGCGGCCCTGCTGTTCCCTGCAGCGCCAACTGGAACTCTGCCAGCCTGCAGAGAGCTCTTTGTAAAACTGCAAAATCTGTGGGTTTCTCTGTTAAAATGAGAAATCTGCGTTTTCCTCTAGTAAAGGGGGAAATCTGCATTTTTCTCCATTTTTCCTTGGGAAGTGGAAAACCTAGATCCCTGCTGATCAATATTGGATAGAATCGGGCCCAGTGTTTTAAGGTTATTTTGACAGCATGGTGAGGCCTCCGCAGAGATTGACAGGCCAGTTCCTGACCACACTCTGGCCCTACTGTCCTATGCCAGGAGGCTAACAAGTTGGAAAGCATAGCTGACTGTGGTTCCCCTTGTGTGGAAGACTTCCTGGGGGCGTGGGCTCAACATGGATGGGTCGACACAGCCCCAATTCCCAGCTGGGGTAAGAAGTATATTCTCGCAGAAGAAGGTGGCCCATCTCTGGCAGTCCTCAGTTGCCTGCACATCATGGTGTTACTTAAATTGCCAATTGCTCAAATCATGAGCGAGACTTTATAAAGGGGGATAAGGCAAGGTGTCACGTTTATTGATTACATGAGTTAGGCATAGAGGTTCAGACACACTATTCATACAAACACACACAAATCATCATACACATCAATACACACAGGCATACACATACACAAAACAACCATTTTATTTACACCAGATATAGTTACCAGCAACAGTTGCTCAATATCAGCCCAGGGTGGCCAAGCCAGGCTTACTGAGTAGATGATGATGATTTGAAGATAGCAGATTTGAAGATAACAGCTGGAGCAGGGTGAACAGATGTATCTGTGCTCCGATGAAACAGCAGTAGAGAAAGAGACTCACCCAACTTGGCATTTTCAAAGTGTTCTTTTATAGGGATTGGCATCCTTTGTTTCAGGGCTTTGGGGTTTTTCCATACCCAGCTTCTGGTTCTGCGGTTGTTCTTCTTTTGTCTTCAGCTTACTTCAGCCTTAGAGTGTTTTTGCTGCCCGTCTGGCAGGATGGGTGCATTCTTTCTTCTGTCATAGTTACATGTAGACTGGAGCAGAACTGAGGCTGCCACGACTTCCACTAGGGGCCAGAGGCAGGGTTGTCGGAGTACCATCAGAACCTGTAGCGAATTCCATATTGAGCGCACCTTAGACCAGAGGGCTTAGCCCCCAACTCGAGCTTTCCCTCCTCCTGATTTTGAAGCATTTAGAATGTAGTAGCTGTCTTGAGCTTTTTGTGTTCATTTTCCCCCTGCTCCAATCCTTCCCCTTCTACCATAGCTTGGGGCAGAAAAGAATTCAGCTCCACAGCGGAAAAAACAGAGCAGACACCGCACCAACATCCCTGTGTTGCTCTTTTATAGCTTCTCCACTATCCAGTTACAAAGTGTTGGAGTTCTTGCCTACTGGGGATTCCGTGCCACCCAGGGCCGGCTGAATCCAGGTGCTCTGCTCTTTCACTGAGTGGCTGGGAGGCTGGTTACCTATGAGGGTAATCACTGAGCAAGTCTCAACTTGCAGATGTTAATTGTTTGTTGGTTCCATCCAAAGAGCCTTAATGGTTCTACTGTATGATGAGAGATTTGGGTTGGTTTCTACTCTCACATGGGCACAACTGAACCAGAATGCATGCATTTGGCTCCAGATTTCCAAACCAAGTCAACTCTGAGCTGAGACTCAGCTCGGGACATTTCACCATGAAGCAGACCTTTTCAGGATGTCAGATTGCATTCATTAGAGGTTTGCAATGAGAGTCTCAGCAGAACTGTAGCTCACACTAACAATAGGAGATTTTATGTCTCCCTGTGTATAACGGTATTGCTTTTAGCTTTGTTTTCGAACACCATCATGGAGGAGAGTTTTGCTTTGAATTTTTCACCTTGTCAGGAC